CCTGTCTGGTAGGTGACCTCCTTCTGGCTTCTGACATTTCAAGCTGCAGTTTCCCCTTTGCCTCCTGCCTTGCTTAGGTCTCTGCCTTCTGTTAAATCTGTAGGGAGAAACAAGTGGTAGAGGACTTGCTTGAACCCCCTCCTGCCAAGCTTGTCACTGGAGTAATTCAGGTTAGGAAAACATCTTTCCCTGCTCACATGAGAAGAGTTCTAAATTAGGACAAATTGCAAAGTATTCTGATGCTTTGTGTATTTTCTTTCATAATTCGTTTGGTTATTGTTATGAGAACTTGCTCTTATTTTCCAAGTCTCAAGTACAAACTGTCTGGAACGCTTGATTTTCAACGTTTATTTTTGATAAATGCCACTTAATAACCTCTCATCTTTCCTCCATGAGGGAGAAAAATTCCATCATTATTAAATATTGATTTATCATCTAAGTGGCTCCTGTTAAAAACAGAAGTAATCAGTGAGCACATCTGCATTTTCACATCATTACTGACTGTTTAATTTCCATCTAGTTACTGGAAGATCAGTAGGAATCTTCTTTTAAAAGATGTCTTTGTGGCCCACAGACACTTCAACTCCTCTCTGTTCCTTTTTATCCCTTGCTGCCTACATTTCAACTGCAATTTGTGCATTTCGGAGAAGTCTAGTGTTACTTGCCTCATTGCTTGGGTGGATATGTAGCTTATGGACCTTCCCTGTGTCACGCTGGCAGGCAGCAGCAGAGTGCAAAGTCAATCTTGGGTTTCCCAGTTGCTAATGGAGACCTCTGTGTGCCTCACCATGCTGCACGGGGTGCTGCGTATGTCTGAGGACCTGGCACTTACTTCCAGTAGCCCTCAGTCATCTGGGAATGAAGGCTGGCACAGCCCCTTCACATCTCCTTTTGAAATGGCAATACTGTTCTCTGGCAGCTCTTGATTCCTACCAAGTTTTAACAGGAATGAGGCATTTATGAGCGCTTCTGCCTAGATTATTGTTATTAAAGTTGGAATTGCAGTGGTTTTGTAAGAATTTTAACTGTGTTATGATACACGTGGTCCTGTGGATGTGATGTTGCACTGGTGCATGGGAACACTGGGTGCAGATCCTGGTTCTGCTCCAGGCCTGCTCGGTGTTACACAGGTCCTGAGGTCCCTCTGTGTGTAGGTCTGTCTCTCATCTGAGAGTCATTTTTCTCCCATGCGTTTTCCACCTTGATGATTTATCTTGTACTTGTGCAGCATGTATCATGGTGGGCATGATCTCCACTAGTCCCTGTATTTATTTAGTGCTGGACTGTAAGACGTGCCCTACTTTCATTCACATTCATGCTTACTGTGGTAAATTCTAAATTTGTCTCTGGAATGATGTTTTATTATTAAAATGATGATTTGCTGCATATTTTGGTAATCTAATAGTACATTACTCGCCAGCTTCTGTCTCCAATGACACCTATTGGTTTGGCACCTAGCGAAAAGCTGTTCAGATGGAAATGAATAGCTGGGCATTTCCTCTAATAAATTTTCTTCCGTTTTTTATTCCCAAGGTACTGCACAGATGAAAATCAGACATTTCCTCAGCCGTTCATGCTGGAGAATCACATCAGCCTTATGCACGGCATCAAAAACCCAGACTTATCCCAGATGGCCAAAGCAAAAGCTCCAGAGAGAGACACAGCAGAAGTAACCAATATATTTTCATTGAAAAATAAATGTACCCGGCGAGTAGTTGTTCACTTGGGGTGTTAGGTCGAGCTGCAGCCTTGCAGCAGTCAAGCCCTCTCATCCATATGGCAGATTTCCTTCCCCTCCTCTCAACTCCATCCAGTTTGCTTCTCTCTGACAGTGTCAGGAGAAGAACTGAAAGCGCAGCTGAGCTGCAGCAGCACCAGGGCATTTTTCAAGATACTCTTGAATGTGTGGCCCTGTGTTTTACTGGCATTTTTTCACTCTACTTTGTAACCAGGTCTCATTTAGGTTTGTTATTACCCTTGTTTTCCCCTGCCACTCTCTTCATGAGCCTGGCACATTTCTCCTCATTCTCCCTTGTTTTTTCTGCTAGTGATAAAAGATTCCCTTTTTGTTTTTAAAATACTTATAAGATCCGTTGCCTACAAGAACTGCGTTCTTCCTAAGTAGGACTGTGTAATTTTTTTCCAGAAATGTAACTGTTCAACCAATTTAATTTGGGTTGGAGTGGAAGGTTAGCTGATGGGGCTTCTTTGCTCCATTTACTTTAAAAATAGACATAGTTTTTCTATATCACTGAAATTTATCATTCATCTGTACCCTAGCATTGGGGGATTGCAGACAAGACTGACTCCTCTGCTGTAAGGGAACCTGGGGTAACTCACAAATTCACTTCCATGAACTGGTGGCTGCTTCCCCCAAGCAGAGCTGATGTGCTAAACAGGGTTATATGGTGGCTTCACATGGCTCCAGCTGGGTCTGCAAATACAAGCCTGTAAGCTGTATCCTAAATCAAGGCTACTTAGTGCTGCTGGATAAGCAGTTAACAAAATCACATGAAGGGATGTATGCAAGTGAGCCATCCTCATGGGAGGAGAAGCACTCTGTGGGATTATAAAACAGAGGGGATGAGTTAATGAGAGATGCCATGAAGAAAGAGACTGAGTGGAGGGGAAAATGTTGAGAGTTAAATCTGAGGTACATTGTCTGGGCTAATGGCCATCCCCTTGTCCCTCAGCTGTCCCTGCTCTGGGGGCTCCTTCCCACACCAACTCCCTGTTTCTGCCCAGCCAGCCCCTCACAGGATGGCAGTTGAGATCCTGCATGTTGGGGTGAGGCGTTTGGGTAGGAAAGGCAGTGCAAGAAAAGTGCCTAGGCATGGCTTTGTTTAGTTTGCATCACAATACTGATGTGTATTCACCCTGAGGTGTCTTCAAATAGTGTGTAGAATTCAGCACTTATTCTGGGCTCGAACAGTAAAGTAACTTTTTATTCTTATTTTTTTAAGGCAAAATCTCCAAAGAGGATGGCAATGGATGAGCTGGGTCAGGCAGAGGCCGCTGCAGGTTCAGACACACCGCCAGCCAAAAAACTGAAAGCGCATTGGAAATGTGCTAAATGCGGATTTGCGACAGACATCAGTACTGAGTTTCAGGAACACATACCTCGGCACAAGACAGACAGCTCCACCTACCAGTGCTTGTTCTGTGGCTTGTGCTACACCTCTCACATCTCTCTGAACAGACACCTCTTCATTGTTCATAAAGTAAAAGATGAGGAGGAGGAGGAGGAGGAGGACGAGGAGGAAGAGGAGGAAGATGAAAGGCAGAAATTGCAAAGGATGAGTGAGAACGGACACGAGGGGTATAATGGTGACATGAACACTATGGCAGAAGAAGAAAACCTGAAATGTAAAGAGTGCAAAAGTGACTCAGCTCTTTGTGAACACAGTCAGACGTGTGGCATGGAGGGTCCTGGTAGCACCTCGCAGAACAATCATTCAAAGTCTCTTAAGACTTAAAAACAAAAAAAACCTTTAGGTTGGTTGGGTTTTTTTTGTTGGGGTGTTTTTACTCAAAATACAGGGTGGGGATGGGGTGAATCTTTGAAATACTCTGTTGATTTCTTGGGATGGACATTGCTTTCCGTTAACTTCTATTTGTAAGGGAAATTTAAAAAAGAAAAAACAAACCCTGCCATTGCATCCTAAGCACTAACTCTCTGCCAGACCAGAGAGGTGAAAAGGGAAAGCAGGGCGAAAATCCTCGCTGGAGCTTGTCCAACTCCTGAGGATCAAGGAGCACTTTCTGCAGCGGCAGTTTCCTTAAGAAGAGCTCTCTTCCTTCTGAGTGTGCACTGCCTCAGCCTCTGCCCAGAGCCCCAGCCTTGCCTTCCCTGTCTTGCTTTCTTTCTCCTTCTATTTATGGCTTCTTTTTTCTCTTCCCATCCTGCCTTTCTTTTACTCATTTTAATTCATAATGCTGTCTCAGCAAAACACGCTTGTCAGGACTGTGCTGGCCAATCTGGGATCTTCTGCGTTACATGGGACGGGTTCAGGCTGTAAGTTGTGCTGTTTTTTCTTTCATTGCCTGAATAACCACCTTATTTTCCAAAAGGCAATTTAATGAAATGTCTTGGACCTAAATCATCCTGTAAGAGAATTTTGTAGCCGCTGACCTCTGGGGTGAGCACAGCTCAAAGCCACATGTGGTGTGAGGGAGGTGACCTCGGGGGCTCACTGGCTGCACTTCCAGCTGCCGTCCCGGCGTGGGGGCTCATCCCAGCAGGGAGCTTGGGCAGGGCCGGGTGGTGGCAGGTTGGCACTGTCCCCAGATGGGGAGAACAGGTCCCTGCCCGTGCACCAGCTGGAGTGAAGCCGTTGGCCGGGTGCCAGGGCTCCCTGCCTGGCTGAGCGCACGGAGGCATTGGCAGGAGCGGGAGCCACTGTCCCACGGCGGCCAGGGCCGAGCTCCGCCGCTGGCACTTCTTCCGTCGCAACTCAACGTTGCCCATCGCCTGGGAGACGTTTCTTTCTGTGTAGTCATATTGACTCTCACCTTTCTCACTCGTTCCCCCATCACACACATGCTTCGTGTAATATAATTCTGTCCTATACCATTTTTTTTAATTCTGTTGAGCCAGAACCCTGCTCGTTATTGTTTACTATGACAATGTTTAAATAATTTAAGAACTATTTATCTTACTGCATTCGGATCGCTCACCTTCTTGTCTTGGCGTGTTTTGATACGAACAGTTTGGACTCTTTGTATTTTTTGATACGGTGTACGTTAGCCTAGGGGATGTTTTACCAGGTAGCCTACGTAGAGTTAAGGATAGCAGGGGGCACTCCCGAGCCATCACGTATCTATTTAACCCGCAGCGGCGTCTGTGCCTTGCTATGATGTTTACTTCCAAGTATTGCAAATAAAAGCATCCAAGGGGGCCTGCCTGGGCGTCGTTCTTGGCTGGGGCCGCCATGGCGGGGCGG